GAAGAAGGGAAGTCTTACCGCACCATAAATGTCATGAGATCAGCTATCTTGGCAGCACACATTCCGTCTCAAGGACGGGCAGTCGGACAGGACCCGCTAATATGCCGGCTACTACAGGGTATCAAACTAAGGAGACCCCCAGCACCTAAGTATCAACATCTCTGGGATGTGGAGATAGTCCTTCGTTTTCTCAGGAACTGGCCTCCCAACGAATAGCTCTCATTGAAACAGCTGACAGCGAAGTTCACCTTCCTGTTGTGCATGGTTTCCTTCCGGAGAGTGGCTGACGTTCGGACATTCGATAAAGACGCCTTTTCCATTGGCCCCGAAGGAGTCACGTTTCACATATCATGGCGTAATAAATCCAATTCAACATCAGTGTTCTATCCGTTCTTCAATTCGGACTCCCAACTGTGTGTGGTTCGGGCTCTCCGAGCATACGTGACAGCAACGGAGAACTTGCGCCCACCGTCTGCACGACAACATTTGGTGTCATATGTGAATCCACACGGCCCTGTCTCGGTCACCTCTCTGCTTCTCTCTCTAGCCGGCATAGATGCTTCCTTTGGTGCACACTCCGTTCGAGGGGCAGCGGCATCATCTGCATTTTTAGCAGGTGCCTCACTGTCTGACATCCTACACATGGCGGATTGGTCCCGAGAATCTACCTTTTGGACCATCTATTTTCGCCTGTCGTCCATTGCCGCTTTCGCTCTTCTACCTAAGCGTTAAAACTACAAATACGAAGCCTCCTGTCATGTTATAAAATTGAAGATTATGCTAGCGCAGTGTACTAATAATCTTAATTTTAATAATGACAGGAGGCGAGTATTTTCCCACCCTTTCATTCTCCAGGAGGTGCCCGCCCACATGGAGGTAAGTTTAAGGAGTATGAGTAAGATAGTCTCTTCTATTGCTTTAAGTTACCATGGGTTAGGATAACATACTGATGTATTTATTATAGGGTTTATTGAACTATAAGGGTATTAAGAATTACACTATAGTTTCTCAGAAGTTAACTCATAACCAGATACTTGTTTTTTTATGGTCATCTCCATATCGCTGATACTAGTCTCTCTCTCTCTTTTCAGTTTGACAAACTACAAGGATGATGGAAGGCTGAAGAGGCCATTATTGTTTCCATGTTGGATTATGTTATAATAATTGGAATGAAGTTACAACAGACTTATTACCGCATTAGGACCTTGTGATGTCGCAGTAGTCAAGAGGAAATGGTTAGCTACACTGGGACTTATATATCCTCTGTTTTACTCTGATTGGTTCTTTCTTTAATGGTTTTTTCTTTGCTGCTGTGGAGCTAGTAAAGAAAGTTAATGCAATTACTCGCCCCCTGTCATTAAAATTAAGATTATTAGTACACTGCGCTAGCATAATCTTCAATTATACATAAAATAATATTTCTTGCAATCAAGTAAAAAATAGAAGCTAGAAATATCAACCCAAAGTAAATCCCTGGGATAACATTATTAAAACAAAATTTGAATAAAATCAAAAGTATTGAAAATTCCAGGGGATCATCACCTAAATGTAAATGTATCAAACATCTAGCTTGACATAGTGTGTGGATAGGTCCTCTATATAGAGAGGATCGATAAATGTAGGTAGAGATAAATATTCAATGTTGGCGTTGTCTATAATGAGAAATGGACAAAATTCTGAATGAGGATTATCTACTAAACAGAATCTTTATTACCAAATATTAAATTCTAAAAAAGCAAACAAACAGTAATCTGTTATTAATTACCGTATATACTCGTGTATAAGTCGATCTCATGTATAAGTCGAGTGCAGTTTTGTGACCAACAATTGTGAAATATGCTATGCCTCGTGGATAAGTCGAGGGTAAAACTTGGGGCTATGAAATTCTGTGATTTTTATAATTATATACACACACACTCATACAAACACACACTCTGCATTATATATACACACACTCATACAAACACACATTCTGCATTATATATACACACACACTCATACAAACACACATTCTGCATTATATACACACACACACTCATACAAACACACACTGCATTATATACACACACTCTGTGTATATAATGCAGAGTGTGTATATAATGAAGAGTGTGTGTTTGTGTAGTGTGTGTGAACTGGGTGGGGGGAGGGCATTTTTATTATTTAAATTCTTTTTTATTTTAATTTTTTTTTTTAATTATTTTAAATTTTTTTTGTCCCCCCTCCCTGCTTGTTAACCTGTCAGGGCTATCTTAATCCCTGGTAGTCCAGTGGCATGGGTTGTGAAGTGGGGGGGGCCGGCAGGAAGCATTTACTTACCTTTCCTGCAGCTCCTGTCAGCTCCCTTCTCCTCCGTTCCGGTCAGCTCCACTGTAAGTCTCGCGGTCTGGTTGCCGCGCGGATCGTTGCCACGGCTCTGACGGCCGCGGCTCTCTAAGTTGCCATAATACAGACAGTGACTCGAGTATAAGTCGAGTGGGTGTTTTTAAGCACAAAAAATGTGCTGAAAAACTAGACTTATACTCGAGTATATACTGGATGTCCTCTGTTGTCAATCATCAACCTACAGTGCGTACATTACATTTCATACCAGTCATTAAAACATTGCATCATCTGTATACATCTATATGCTCATATTCATATACACATGCACATTACATTATCTATATTGCGTTTGATACTGTAGAGTTTATCTCTTATATATCTAGAGAAGAGAAAAATAGTTTAGCATATACATTTATGTATTTGAATACCATTCTTATTATACTTATAGAAAGTGACACATCTCGAAGTCCTTGTTAAAGCCCCTAGGTGATAGGGATTTTAATTTAAATATCCATCTCATTTCTTGTTGAGCTAACTTCTTATCTAAATCTTCTCCTCGCCAATCTCTATTAACTTTTTCTAGTCCTAAAAATCTAAGTGTAGTGGGATCACTATTATGTTTTTGTGCGAAGTGCACTGATATGAACAGATTTCATAAACAGCCCTAGAAAATACTTATGAATTGAGTGCACATACCCACTAAGAGTGGGAGGACTAGAAATAAATCCTAGTCTGATTGACTGCCCCCTCAACCAATGGTGAAACAGAAGGGGAGTGTCTGGACACTTACAAGACAGGGCTGAACAGGAATGATGTCTTCAGAAGAAGCCCAGGAGGTGGGAGAAACGCGTCACGAGTGACAGAGAGAGGCGGTCCCAACGGTCATGTGACCGGAACCAGGAAGTGTCTAAGCTGTATCATTTCTTGTGTGTAAATTCCTGCTTATCTAGTTGTGGGTTTATTGCTGGCAAACCCACTATTTCAGGTAAGAGTTTTTAACCTTTTGTTTAAATAAATACTGTGTTTGGTACTATTCAATTTGGGCTCCTGCCTCTCTATTTGTTTATACTGCCTAGATATTACATCTGATTCAGAAGAGTATCCTGTTTTGCTATACTGTAGGTTTATCCCTCTCCATTGGAGCAATTCAAACTCAGGGGCTCTGGTCCATGTGTGTTGATCCCCAGATATACTTTTAATTTTGCATACCCTGTATATACAGATAGTCTGCACTATACACTGTATATTTTTTCAGAGTATTCAGAGAAGATCCTGATTCCAGTGCAGTTGCTAACTTTCTGGGATCTGGATAAAACATGCAGGCTCCTTGTTTATCAAACAATATTACCAAAATTTACAGAGATCCCAACCTTTAAGTAAGCAGTGGTAACATGAGCCAGTGACAGGGAGCCAGAAGAACAAGCATAGTTGTATACATACATGATTACCCAACTACTGGCAACAAAACAAACAAGGGAGGGATGAAAAATAGGAGGGAAATACTCACCTCTTGTCATTAATAAAATTAAGATTATAGGTACACTAAAGCTAGTATAATCTACAATTTTATAACATGACAGGAGGCTTTGTATTTTCTGTTTTAACGCTCAGACAACTAGAACGATGCATATGTCACTGGTATATAATCTGGGAGATCAAACAATGAATCCCGAAAAGACCTTACAACTGCAAGATATGGCAAGATATGGCTGTAGATTGGGCGAAGATGATGCCAGTCATTGTTAATCCTCAAAGTGCGGACGAAACCCAATCCGTTGTTAGAGTTGCTGTACTTGGGAAACCGTGGCCTGGTTCCGTCAAAATGGTCGATGTATAGTAATGTTGACACAATCCATACACAGCCCAGATGTAATAGCTTGAAGGGCACCGGCGGCTTGGGCTTGTGTAACAAACTGCCATCCGTATTCAAATCTTGATGTAGTGGGCAGCTTCTCTGATCATCCAAGGATCGTGCCCGCAGTTCTCCAACCTTAAGATCCACATCTGAGCCCATGATAAAGCTTGGGACAGGACCAAATGGAGTCCATCCTATCCCCTTTGATATAAGCAGTGAATGGTCTTCATCTGAGAAAAAAAATCTACCACGCGCGGGCTAGTGTGCAGAGGGGCACCTGGTTGCACTCTAGATGTCTCCAGTACCCAAAGTGGATTGAGGAACCCAGGACTGTGGTAGACAAAGAACTCTTAAGGGCACCTCAATAAAAAAGTGAAACAGTAGTATACAGAATCCGGGAGTTTATAGAAGGGTGTAAATTCGTCCAACAACATTTGAACTAGAAGGATGGTGTAGAAGAAAATGAGCAACAGAATCAGTCCATGTTGGACAGCGTCCAGATTTTGGAGTCTACCCCTGGGATTGCTGTCCATATAGGGCGAGAGTGGAGTAGACCGAATGGCTGGATTG